AGCATTCAAAACTATATAATTGTAGTATACTGTCATGATTTCCCAGGTGACCTGACTTTCTCCCAAAACTTGGATCAGATATGACACTATTTTGATTGTACTTATGAAGGTTACCATTGTTATCACCTCTGCTTCTGATGCTAAGAATCATGCTTTAAAAATTCCATGTTGAAAACACTAAGAAAAGTTGATTGGGGTTGGAGAGACCAAGGTGGGAAGGCCAGGTACAAGGTGGTGCCCTGGGAGATGAACAATAATCAAAGCAAGAACAAAGATAGCAACAGTGGGAGCTGATGTGACAGGCTAGGGGCCAGAATTCTGCCTTTATCATTTTTGCACCCCAAGCTCATGCCTTCACAAAGTTGATACTCATCATTAAAAAAAAAAAAAAAAATTGCTGGGCTGGGGGATTGAACCCAGGGCTTTATGCATGTAAGACATGTGCTCTATAACTGCTATATTCCCAGTCCCATATTTTTAAAAAAGTTTTCTCTCAGGAAAACTTAATGATGAATTATTGTTGAAGTGATGCAGCATCCAATGGGATGACCCCATGGTCCCTGGCTTGAGTGGCTGCCCAATGGTAGTGCCATTCACTGGCCTAATGATGCTAAGGGGAGCAGGAATGCACACAGCAACATACCTGCTACTTACTGAATAAGTGATATGGTCCAACAGACACTGTCTTCCACTGTCTGCCTGTCATATGTCTTGGAAGGAGGCACCTGTGTGGAGAAGAGTAGGGAAGGAAAACACAAACTTTCTCTTCCTCATTCTTGTGTGCAGGGCCAGCATAAGATGTAATATGAGATAGAAAGTGCTTCCCTCTCTCTCTTTATTTCCTTGTTGCTTCTCTAACTTCTGGTGTTTTCTTCTTTGAGTTCTCAGGCTCTCCACTCTAACTTCTCAAAACCAATGAGTAGCCAATTGGGTGCATACCTGTTAATCCCAATGACTCTGGAGGCTGACACAGGAGGATTTCAAGTTCAAGGTCAGCCTTGGCAATTTAGCAAGGCCTTAAGTAATTTAGCAAATAAAAAGGGCTAGGGATGTGACTCAGTGGTTCAGAGACCCTGGGTTCAATTCCCAGTACCAAAAAATAAATAAATTTAAAAAAATAAACACCATGGGAAGTTATAATCCATGTACTTGTAACATGTCAAAATACATTCTACTGTCATGTATAACAAAAAAGAACAAATTAAAAAATTAAAAAAAAAAAAACCACCAATGAGTAGTTGGAGGGAAGGTCAATAGGAACAATGTGTTCACTCTTCTAAAATAATCCAGGTTTTAGAATTACTCTTTTCCTCCTGGCTTTAGAAATCTTGTTTCCTCAATCTTGTCACCAGAGAGATAGCATGAAACCATTCTGGTTAAACACATTCACACTACTGAGCAGATGACTGATGGGTCCCTTTATGCCCTATAGTTGTTTGAGTTTCCCAAAGAGCTGCTCCTTTGCTACTTCACCAGAGTGAAAGCTCCAAGTTGCCATGTGGAGGTGGAGGTGGAGGTGGAGGCTTGGGTGGGTGGGGGGGGCTGCTTTCTAGTTGCCATTCAGGCAAACCAGGCCCTGCCCTAGTGTCCTCCTCTGGTGCCAGCTCCACCAGTTCTATTTTCATAGCACTTCTGCTTCCTGTATTCAAGTTACCTGTTTCCCAGAACAGCAGAGATGACCTGTTCCTCTGTCTTCTTCAGGAGATATGACTGGACTGGAATGACATGTGCATGCTGGAAAGGGGACAGCCCAGGGAACACCCTCAGTGGTGATGTCTCCTTACTATCTGAATTTGAGAGGTTCTCCCTCCAGCAGAAGGCTACCTCTGCCATGTTCATGTGTGGCTACTGCCGCCTCTTCCTTGATGGCTCCAGAATGTCCAGTGTGTACTGGCATTGGGCTGGGCACATTATGTATACCAACCCATCTTGTCCTCATGATAGTCTATGAGGGAACCATTATGATTCCTGTTTTACAGGTGGAGAAATTAAGATTTGGAGAGAATTTGCTCAAAGGGGTCAGCCATAAACTAGGAGAGCTCAGATTCAGTCCCAGCTGTCTCCTCCATGATGTGATATGGAAACTTTAGGATGGGGAAGTGAGAACCCAGGAAACATGCTGAAGCTACTATTAAAATATTAACAATGTAGGAAATTCACTGAATGGGCATAAGAGATAAGCAAAACAATATATTCCAGGGAAGGAGAGAAAGCTTTGTTGTAATGTCTAAATGAACTTGGCCTTCCTACCTGAGAATTTATACTAGTTTCCTATGGCTGCTATAACAAAATCATTTTACCACAAATTTAGGGACTTAAAAAATACAGATGTATTATCTTGTCCATCTGGAGATCAGAAATCTCAAATGAGTCTGAGATTAAAGTGCCAGGAGGGCTTTGTTCCTTTTAGGTGGCTCTTGGTGGGAATTTTTTCCTTGACTTTCCCAGATTCCAAAGGCTGCTTTCATTCCTTGGTACATTGCCCCGTCCATTCTCAAAGCCAGCAGCACAGCATCCCTCCAGCCACAGCTCTCTTCACATCTCCTCTCATTCTTCTGCCTCCCTCCTCTTTCCTTTATAACAACTACTGGGATTACATTAGATCCACCCAGATAATCCAGGATAATCTCTTTATCTCAAGATTCTTAATTCAGTCATACCTTCAAAGTCCCTTCTGCATGTAAAGTAACATTCACAGGTTTGATAGGGAGATTAATGTGGTAAAAATCTATCAAAATGTCTGCTAGCTTAAAAAAAAAAAAGAAAAATACATATTAAATGGATAAAAATTACATATATTTACAGTACACACCATGATGTTTTAAAATATGTATATATCGTGGAATGGCTCAATCCACCTAATTAACATAGCCATTATCTCACAAACTAATTATTAATTAAATATATCAAGTACATAAGTTATTACAAATATACACTCTTTGATGTAGCAGTCCTCTTATTTGTACTTTATTTCATAGGAAAAAAGTACTTAAAACATTTAATAACATAGATGTTATTACATCATTGTTCATAATGGAAAAAAATAAAAAGTAAGAAAGGAAGGAAGGAAGGAAGAAGATGTGCCAACAGGAAATCACAGGAATGCCTGTCAAAGAGAGAATGACCGAACCCATTGTCTATTTAGAAAATGATGGATCTAGTAAAAAAAATACAAGCTGCTGTGGTAGCACGTACCTTTTAATCTCAGAGACTTGGGAGACTGAGGTAGGAGGATTGCAAGTTCAGAGGCTACCTTTGCAATTTAGTGACACCTTGTTTCCAAATAAAAAATAAAAAGGACTGGGAATATAGCTCAGTGGTCAAACACCCCTGGCTTCAATTCCCAATATCAAAAGAGGGAGGGAGGGAGGGAGGGAGGGGAGAGAGAGAGAGAGACAGAATGAGAATATGAATGTGAGAATATTAGATCTACTCCTATAGAATTAGAAAAATGCCCTAAATGGAAGTAAGGCTAGAGGAAGAAGTTACAAAGTGATGATGTAGCATAATCTTGTTTTTGTTTTGAGTCAGGGTCTTGCTATGTTGCCAGGCCTGGCCTCCAACTCCTAGGCCTAAGTAATCCATCCATCTGCCTCAGCCTCTCCAGTGGCTGGGATTACAGGTGTGTGGGGGGAGGTGGACTAGCACGTGACTGTGTCTGTCTTCCCTTCTGATTGGGGCGGCATCCTAGGTCAACCCAGATGATAGCCCCAATCTTTAGGGTGCAAGCTACTGTGTCTTCGCGCATGGGTATGCCTTCCTACATCCCCATGGGTGGAGCTATGCTCACTTCTTCCTTTGTAATATTACCCCTTGCCCTGTTTGGGATAGAATGTTCCTTGGAAACACCCTTTGTGTGTCCCCTTCTCTTACTGTGTCCTTGGGTGTGGCCTTCCTAGATGTCAGTCAATCTGCTGACAGCAGACATCATGAGTCTAGACTCAGCCCTCTGAAACCTGACCCCTTGCCTCATTTGAATAGCTTCTCCTCAATAAAAGGGGTCAGCAAGAGATGCTGATGCTCGCTCTCTTCTCTCTCTCTCTCTCTCTCTCTCTCTCTCTCTCTCTCTCTCTCTCTCTCTCCACCCTAAAGGGTCAGAGGAGCCGGCACAGCATCCCCAAAGAAAAAGGTATTTCTGTCTCGTGGTTATTTCGTGCATCCCAGTTAGCCCAGTTCCCCTGGAGTGACCCCTGAGTGTTTTAGTCCTGTGCACCCCAGCATGTGTGTACCAATGCACTCCACCTGGCTTCATTCTTTTAAAGAACAAACATCAACTCTCCAAATTGTTTAGATATCTAGGTCAATTATTTAATGTCAGTATGTCTTGGTTATTTCATCTGTAATCAGGATAATGATAATTCTCACCTAATGGGCTCTTACAAAGGTTAAGTGGGATGATTTATGTCCAGTCCTTAGAATTCTACAAGCAGCAGCAGCCAGGGCATCTGTGTAAGGTGATTTGAGTGGAGAAAAGTGGGAAGGATGCATCCTACATGCTCACCTGGTACCTCAGAGGTGGTGAAAGGGAAAATATTACTTTCTTTTTGTATAATTTTGCATCTCTGCATGGATGGAGAAATTGTTATTGTAGAACTTTTTTTTTTTTTTTGGTACCAAGAATTAAACTCAAGGGTACTCCACCATTGAGCCACATCCCAGCCCTATTTTGTATTTTATTTGGAGACTCACTGAATTTCTTAGTACCTCACGTTTGCTGAGGCTGGCTTTGAACTCAAGATCCTTCTGTCTCAGCCTCCCAAACTGCTAGGATTATAGGCATGCGCCACAGCATACAGCTGTAGTAACTTTTTAAACTCTGTTGTTTTATTGGTAGTTGTTCTACCAATATAACCATTAACACTGAATTGGGAACAGCACGAACCTAAAAACATGTCATGATTCAAAGTTTGGTAATTTTGGAATAGGAATTTAATAATGAAAATTTAAAGGGAAAAATTGTAGGAGAGCCTTAACTCAGGGATGGTCTTGTGTGTCCGCAGTATTTACTGCCGAGGATGTTCCAAGCCGCTGTGCTGTTCCTGTGCGCTCCTGGACAGGGACCACAGCGACCTGAAGTGCGACATCAGCGCAGAGATCCAGCAGCGGCAAGAGGAGTTGGACACTATGGCACATGCACTGCAAGAGCAGGACAGTACCTTCAGCACTGCGCATGCAGAGATGCGCTCAGCCATTGGCCAGCTGGGCCGTGCGCGTGCGGACACAGAGGAGCTGATTAGCACACATGTACGCCAGGTGGTAGCACATGTGCTGGCACGGGAGCGCGAGCTGCTGGATGCAGTGAATGAGCAGTACCAGCGAGATTACCAAGAGATGGCCAGCCAGCTTCGTCGCCTGGATGCTGTGCTACAGCGCATCCGCACTGGCGGTGCGCTGGTGCAGAGGATGAAGCGCTATGCCTCCGACCAGGAGGTTCTGGATATGCATGACTTCGTGCACAAAGCGCTCAACCGCCTACGCCAGGAGGAACCCCAGAGCCTGCAAGCTGCCCTGCACACAGATGGCTTCGAGGAGTTCAAGATCCGCCTGCAGGACTTCATCTCTTGCATCACCCAGGGAACAGGTAAGCTGTGGTCATTTGAGGGTTTTTATAGGACCCTGTGGAATAGCTGTGACCCCTGAGGAACATGTGGAAGTTGACACACTGCAGACCTGAGAACCCAACCTGGCATATCATTTTAGCTCACTCTAGGAGGCTCTTTTTTTTTTTTTTTTTTTTTTTTTTTTAAGAGAGAGTGAGAGAGAATTTTTATTATTCATTTTTTAGTTATTGGCGGACACAACATCTTTGTTGGTATGTGGTGCTGAGGATCGAACCCGGGCCGCAAGCATGCCAGGCGAACGCGCTACCGCTTGAGCCACATCCCCAGCCCATCTAGGAGGCTCTTAAGCCCCCTGTTCTCAGGAATAGAGAAGTTAGCTGGAAGGTGGGGCCTAACAAAACCTTACCCCTGGCAGCTGCCAACCTTTCTGGACTCTGTCTAGTACTGGACACTTGGGAACTGGAGAATGACACAGTGCTTGGCTCTGCATCAAACTCCAGGAATTGAAGCAGCTCTGTGTGGGGTTTTCAGAATGATTGGGAGAGGGGAACGGGGCACATGGGGGATGTCAGGGCTTTTTGACTAAATCTCTAAGCTGGAATCTGAGCAGCTAGTAGAAGGACAATCCAAAGTTACCTGAGCAGGTGTCAGTGGTGGAGAACTTACTTACTTCGCCTGGAGCTGATGAACTTGGGCTCATAAAGGCATGTTCCTAGAGTGAGCATGACTTGTGCCTTCTCCACCTAAGCAGTGAGTATTTCTCCATATCTGGGAAATGACCTCAGAGTTTAAAACAGTGCTCTGGATATTGTAACTGGTCAGCGGCAGAGAGAGAATTATTTTAATCTGAAGCATGAGAATTTTATATTAGATTTAATATAAGCCAGGCAATGGATCAGGAAGAGCTCTCACCCCATAGGAGTCAATGAGCAGAAATGGTCATCTACTTTTTGCCTTGCTGTTGGCTTGGAGATGGAGAAAAGTATACTTGGGGTTTGGAGTCAAACGCAGTTGCTCTTTAATGCTGCCCTTTCTCCCTTCTGGCTGGGTTCAGGCCTACTGCAGACATGAGAGCTTTTCTTCCAACTGCCACCCTCTCCATAGAGATGTCCTGGAGAATGGGTGTCCAGAGAAAGCATCAGAATTCCTCTCTGTCACTGTCCCAGGCCAGGATGCCCCTCACTGGGATGTCTCTGATCTGCCATCCCTTCTCTGTGTTCTCCAGATGCAGCTGTATGCAGGAGAGCCAGCCCAGAGACTGCCGGAACTCCCAGGGAGCCTTTTGATGTTGACTTGGTGAGAGGGGTTTGAGGTGTGAAGGGGAGGTAGTAGGTGGTGTCCCTGTGTCTGAGAAGTACAGCAAGTGGCTAGACTGGAGCATTTATTGGGAGGGAGTTGAAGAAGGCATTAAGGAGGGTTTGGCTAGATGGCTCTGAGCTCCTACATGCCAAAGTAGCTGTTGATGGACATGCATGACTTCGTGCACAAAGCACTCAACCGCCTGTGCCAGGAGGAGCCCCACAGCCGCATTCAGAGGGGCTAGATCCTGAGGTGGCGAAGGCAGTGGTTACTGACAGCAACCCTGTTGAATATGGCAGATGACTTCCCTGTTCCCTTTACTCCAAACATGTGAGTCATTTCCTGGGGTCAACTTAGGTGGACCTTACCCTCGTCCTTCCCCCACACATGGTTCTTGGTTGAGAGAATGGGGCCAGGAGTCAGATCTCCTTCCTAGCAGTCTGGGTTCCACAGTATGATTCCAGGGCCATCATACCTAAGAGCGACAGCTTCTCAGAGATGGAAGATACCCATATGCCATCTCATGTTGGCTTTACCTCTGCAGAACCCCTGTCCAGCTTTTGTGAGCACCCCTCCAGAGAGAGGAAGGTTGTTCATTCTGGAGGCAGCCACTCCCATCTCTGGACGGCTCTGACTTAGAAAGTTCTTCCTGGGTAGTGGCATCCCTTCAGCTTGCCCCCTTCAGTGCTCACAGGCATGGCTCCCCTCCAGCAGGATAAGCCTTCTCAGTTCCTTCCTGGACCTGCCAGGTGGTCTCTTCCCCAGACTAGTCACTCCAGCACATATGAGCCTGTCAAGGGTCTGGGCTCAGCACTGAGCAGTTTTCCATGGAAAGCAAATCTTCTGGTGAGGCAGAGGTACAGCAAGCTTTACCAGGGTGTGATCCGTAGGACAGAGAGATTGCTGTGGGCTGAGGCAATCAGGAGAGGCTTCCTGGGGGAGGTAGGACTTAAGAGTCTGAAAGTTTTAGAACTAGAAGAGAGTATGAAGTCTAAGCCCCTCTTTTCAGAGGATGAAGCCAAAGAGGCCTTCCTCAAGGCCACACACAGCAAACTAGAGGCAGGATTAAAAGCCAACTCTTAACTACCTTGGGTACTGCGTCCCCGTATACATACTTTCAAAAAATGAAGGCAATTTAATTTATTTTCTAATAGGTCATATAGTCACACAGTCAGAAATTAAAATATAGAAAGTGACAAATAGCATGTTTCCCTCCTCCCTCATCTGCCAATTTTTATGCCCAGATACTTATCTTTTTTTCATTTCTTATAAATCTTTCAGAATTTTTTCATGTAATTATAAGAAAATATGATTGTAGATGCTTGCCTTTTCTACTTCATTATTATGCAAAGATAGCATAACACAATGTATACATGGTATTGTACTCTGGGTTTTTGTGCTCACTGATGTATTTCAAAATTCTTTCCCTGTCAGTAGTAGAAAGTTTCCTAATACTTTGTTGGCACTTTTTTTTTTTTTTTTTTTTGGTACCAAGAAGTGAACCCAAGGGCACTTAACCACTAAGCCATATCTCTAGCCCTTTTTAATATTTTATTTAGACACAGGGTCTCATTAAGTTTTTTAGGCCCTTGCTAAGTTGTTGGGGCTGGCTTTGAACTTGCAATCCTCTTGCCTTAGACTTCAGAGCTACTGGGATTACAGGTGTACACCACTGTGCCTATCTCCTGGCACCTTTTTGCAGGGAAGTCAGTAGTAGAAAGCTTCCTGCCACCTTTTTGTGGTCTTTTAAATGAATGGAGTGCCTTGTTTAGCCAGTTCCCTATTGTCAGTAGTTTTATTATCACAAACAGTGCTAAAGTGGATGTCTGCAAAGGAATAATATGAAATAAAAGTATCTATTTTTTTCTTTCTTTATTTACTTTATTATTTTGTAGTTGTAGATGGACACAGTGTCTTTATTTATTTTTATGTGATACTGAGATTCGAACCCAGTGCCTCACACATGCAAGGCAAGTGATCTACCATTGAGCTACAACCCCAGTCCTATTTATTTATTTTTTTATGTGGTGCTGAGGATCAAACCTAGCTTCACACATGCTAGGCAAGTGTTCTACCACTGAGCTATCCCAGCCCCTAAAAATCTATTTTTATCTTTTCTTTGCTTAGCTTCTTCAAAAGGCATTAAAATTATGTAATGATTATAACAATTATTATTGAAGTGGTAATGCTTAAAAATATAGTCTGTATAAGAATACTACCCAGAAATGGAGTATCATAAAATATTTAGAGATGTATGGTTTGAGCAATGACTGCTACATCGTTTTGATATAGGTACATGAAGCACTTGGCCCTGAGCCTAGCATTGGTAGTAATAAAAACAGTATTTATCATCATCGTTATCATCATCATCACCATTAATAGCACTTTTTAAGTGCCAGGTGCTCTCCTAAACATTTTGCTTGAATTTAATACATTTCTTCCATATTGCCATTTGAGGTAAGTGTTGTTATTCCCATTTTACAGAAGGGACTGAGACTCGGTGAGTTTTAAGTAATTGGTCCCACTTGTATAGTAGCTGACCAGTAGAGGTAAGGGCAGACTCAAGTTCACAGGAGGCCAGGTTCTGCCCTGTGGGAGGATTTCTCACTGCTGGAAATGTGTAGTCTTGGCAGCAAGCACCTTGTGCCTGGATACGTGCAAGCCGGGCTGGCTCATGGCCATGTCTTGAGGAGGAGTGGTCCCTGAGGTATCTTCCAGCCTTGTTAAGATACCCAGGAACTTAATTGGTGCCTGGACACCAAGGTCGGGAGCAGGTGAAGTCATGGAGAGGGAAGACTCCTTGTCCCCAGTGAGCTCCAAGCTTGGGACCAGGGAGTTTATCTAAGGCCTCCTGCAGGCCTGGGGTCATGGGCCCAAGACCTGCTGCCTGATCATTTCTGATTCTCTTGTTTCCTGACTTCACAGCCGGACGAGGCACAGAGAGTTCAGGCCCAGGCCCTGGGGCTGGCTGAGGCCCAACCTGTGGCTGTGGTACAGTCGGTGCCCGGAGCACACCCTGTGCCACTGTATGCCTTCTCCATCAAAGGCTCCTCTTACAGTGAGGTAAGCCTCTCCCAGCCCCTGCCTCTTTCCGAAGGCCCCCACATTCTACCAGGACAGTCAGCTGAAGCTAGGGTGAAAATCCCAGCCTTCAGAAGCTCTTCACGAGGAAGTATTTGCTTGACATCTACTCTGTGCCCTCCCTTGCTCTTGGCTGCACCATCAGGAAGTTCTCCTCTAAGCATGAGCCACTCCAGCCCAGCTGGGGTGCTGGGACACCCAGCACTGTCAAAGAGCAGCAGAGGTTGGTGGTCAGCAGCTAGGAGCAGTGCGCATGGCGGTGTGGGAGGTTTCCTGTCTGAAGAGGGGCATTCTGTATGGCAGAGGGAATAGCAGGAGCAAAAACATGGCCCTAGGACTCCAGCAACCAGACAGGATCTCTGCTTCCAATCCTGGAGCCCCTGACCTAGCCTTGTGACTCCCCACTGCACAGGAGGTCTCCAACACAACCACCCCCCAGAAGAGGAAGTCCTGCCATACCCAGTGTTCCAGGAAGGTCATCAAGCTGGAGTCTGAGGAAGACAAGGAGGCGAGATTGGCTTCAAGTTCCCCGGAGCAGGCCAGGCCCAGTACCTCCAAGGCTGTCTCACCTCCCCATTCGGATGGGCCCCCCAGCCCTGAGAGCCCCATCATAGGAAAAGAGGTCCTCCTGCCCAACAACAACCACGTGCTTGGCGACACTGGGGAGGCAGGTAGGGAGGTGGTTAGGGCCGCAAATACTGCCCTCCAGGGTCTGGGTGGGACCCTTCTGCATTCTGACCCTACCCAGGAATGCAAAGCCAACAGGATTCCCTTGTGTGTCTTTCTCTGAGCTGCCAGTTTATTGTGTGCTTTGCTTTGATGCCTGTTCAGGGAACCGAGGGGCTAGCATGCACAGTGCTATGAATCCTTTCCCCAGAACATTCTTCCAGTGCCTAGCATCATGCCTGTGCACAGGGTGGGTGTCCCCAGGAAATGTTTGGTGAATGACTAGCATAATCCCAAAGAGGACTTGGGTAAAGTTCATGTCCATCATTTCCCCCAATTTTTCTACCTAAGTATCTCCTTTGTCCTCATGAGATTTTTTTTTTTTTTTTTTAAGAGACAGGGTCTCACTGAGTTGTTTAGTCATGAGATCTTAGCCTGAGTCCTTGAGCAGGAATTGAGGTCAATACCAAGGATGCTGGAATAACAGGGTTTTTTGTTTGTTTGTTTGTTTTGTTTTCATGGATCTTCCTGACCTAGAGTTCAGCTTTGTTCGTTATAGGTCCCAGATTGACCCCTGACCCTGGTCATATCCTAAGCCCTGACTGTTATTCCTTATTCACAAATGCTGTTGATCATCAAAGGGTTTCTATTAACTAGATGAAGCATCTTTTAATTCTAGATAGCTAAGCTCACAGGGCCAAGATTGGAACAAGCCAATGTGCTTCTTTAGGATTGTAAAAGGTTTATAGGGTATGATGGCATACACCTATAACTCTAGAGGCTAAGACAGGAGCATCACTTGCACCCAGGAGTTTAGAGCCAGCCTGGTCAATGGAAAGACCCTGTTTTGGGGGGAAAAGAAAAATCACAAAAAGTTCTAAACCAGGTAGTGGTTGTTAAGGCCTCCTGTATAAGAGCAAATTCTGCATTCAGGACCAGTAGCTCCATTAAATATTCATAGATGAGGCACAATAGGGAGTGATAAAAATTCATGTGTTAGTAACCCAAACCTGAACAGAAAGCAGAACCACCCTGGCACATGTGATGAATGTTGACATCACCCCGCAATGCTTCCATTACCCCCAGTCTACTGACCTGCAAGGACCCCACTCTATCCCAGTGAGCACCCCCCACCCTAGCCAGTGTGCATTCCAGGAAGGACCTAATGTCACCTTCCCTTGCTGTTTCAGAGGAACGCATCGTTGTGATCAGCAGCTCAGAAGACTCAGATGCCGAGAACTCGGTGAGTGGCCCAGAAGTTCGACCCAGGACTCCAGCCTCCCCTTATTCCAGGTCCCAGGGGCCACAGCCACAGCAGGTGACTCTCAGACTTGCCTTGCGCCTAGGGAATTTTCCAGCAAGGCATTAAGGCCTAAGCTGTCCCAAGGAGAGTCTCTTAAGTGCCAGCTAAATGCCTGGACTACTCCAGCCCTCTCACCACACCAAGGCAGGAGCCTTCGGTGGCCACATGTATTCTTGCAATGCTTGCTAGAGCACTTCCTTTTGGGGCCCTGGCTCTCCTCAGGAATGTCCAAGGCATTTGTCTGGAGCAACTTCCTCACATATTTTCTGTCCTCTACATCCTCTGTGAGAAGGACTGGACAAGAACCCATTCCCTGGTTAATCTCAGCCAGTGAGCATCAGTGAAGAGAAGGAAAGGGTATGAGGCACAGGCAGCACTGTGCAGGGGCCAGACAAGCTAGTTTGACTCCATGTAAGAAAGAACTTCTTTAAAGCCGTCCTTCAGTGAAACCAGTGGCCTCATGGGATCTCATGGGTAGTGATCCTTCTGTCCCTAGAGGTGTGTTAGAGGCTGGGCTGTCACCTTTCCAGGGAAAGAGGGATCTGAATCGAGCAAAAGGTTAAACTGGGTGGTCCTGAGGTCCCTTCCGGCCCTCAGTCTGAGGTTCTGTGTTGGAAAGTGCACGGAGCCGCCGGAGACTGCTGAGCCACACTCCTCACCAGCCCACTCCCTGCTGAGCGCGCCAGGAGCTGCCCACCCCCATCCAGCCTCCCACCAGCCCCGTGGCACAGGCCACTTGCCAACCTGGCCTCCCCACCATTCCACGGCCGTCCCCGATGCTGAATCTCCCAGCCAGCCTGCCGATCACCAGGAGCATGCTGCCATCCACCGTGGGATCAGCGTCTACCCGTGCAGGGCACAGAGAGCCAACCGCCTTCACCGCCTTCTCCGCTTGCCTGCCCAACTATATCGTGCCCCCATGTGGACTTCCTTTCCCCCTGCTGCCCAGGCTACCACCTCTACCACCACAGGGCCTCCTAGCCATCCTACCAATGCCCAGGAGTGTCCTCCCTGTCTGCGGAGAGCCATCAGCCCATCCCGCCAGGTGTGCAGGTCCCTGCAATCCCGCTGCCGCTCCCTCAGGGGTTCCCGCCATTTAGCTCAGTGGCTCGAAAATATCTTTGCCCTCCCTCGCTCCTACGCGGATTTCCAATTTAATGCCTCTTCCATAAGAGGCCCACAGGGAGGCCAAGCACCCCAGACTTTTAGAACAAGAGTTCCCCCCAGGGATTGTGGCAGAGCTCCCATGGAGAATCCCCAAGTCCAAGTCCCAACTGGAAGTTCCTCCAACTGCTTTCCCATTTTCCCACCCTCCCAAGAGGCCCCCCACCAGCCTAGGCCTGGATACCCCTAAGACAGACCTCTGAGAGCACTGAGTGCCTCCCTCCTCTGTAGCTGCTGGCCACCCCACTCCCAACTTTGCAGCCAGACCTCCTGCCTTCACCAGCCCACGTACCTAAAGGCCTGCAGAGTAGACATGGGTTAATTCCCAATCAAGGAAGAGACCAAGGAATGAATGGACCTCTGGGTAAGGAGACGAGGCCCCCATGACTGAAGGGACACTGAAGGCATTGCTGAGATTGGGGCTACCCTTCCTCACAGGCCTCTTTGTCCAAGAGGGGAGTTCTCTTGCCCTTTGTACCTTCCTGTGTCCCAAGCCCCATCTCCATCCCCTACCCAAGCCTGTCCCCTGAGCCTCTGCCAGGATCTGAGCCCCTGTGTGCAGGGACTGTGTCTATCCCAAGACCTGGCAGATGTGGCTGCTTAATAAATTCTTGCTGAATGATCATCCTTGCGAACCCTTATTCCATGACCATCAGATTCCCTGGTGGGTTGAGCTGTTCCCTGCAGGTGGTTTTGTCTCCTTCCTGCAGAAAACTTGGTTCTCAGAACTCCAGGGATACCACGTTCCTTCTTCCTCCCACACTCCGCAGCATCAGAGGTGGGAGGTGGGGCAAGGCTCTGGACTGTCCCAGTCCCACTACGTGGTAAGACCCCCCTGTGACACCAAGAAACAATTCAGGGGGTGTACCCAACTTTCCCTGCCTCAGACATCCACCCCCCACCCCTCTAGAGGGAAGATGTGAGCATCTGCCACCTAGATTTCTTCCTCCACTCGGTTCCTACCTTCTTACTGAGTATCTTCAACATCCCTCACCCTGCCCTTTGCTACAGCCTCTCAAGGGTCTTCACCTCACTTCACTTTAGCTACCAGACCTGTGGCCATATCACGTACCTTACCACTGCCAAGAACCACCGACCTCTAACCTGTCCACTCAGACTACAGTCTCAGGTTCCTTGAGCCCTTGGTCCTGACTGCCAGCACCATCCTCTTTCAGTCATTCTTCATCAGCATCAGGATCTCAGATCCCAGTTCACAGGACCTGCTTTTAGGCCTGCCCCGCTGAAACAGCCCTGGTAGGATTCAGGAGCTTGCTGCCTCTTTGCTGCCCCCTGAAGGCAAGATTTGTTGGAGAAAAGACACCCAGAGAGGAAAAATGCAAAGGATGGTGTCCAGCCTCTGAGGGCCCCTTGGTGCTCCTCCATGTCACCCTCCTGCTTGCCACCACAACTCCCTACCACCACTTCTCTAGGCTTCATCCTGACCCTCACTTTAAGCTGGTAAGTGTACTCTGCTCCAGAGAGAAGCTCTCTGATGGCCTAGGAATGGTGGACATCTGGCTACCTAATTGCAGATTTATCTGACCCTGTCACATCGCTTCACCTATCCCTTTTGTTAGGGTGGTGGGGCTGTCTGCCTGCCTCTAGGATTCACCTTGTGTCCTGGCCCAGCTCCCTAGAGCCTCACTCCATCTTCTTATCCTCATCTCTCCATCTTTTGATGCTTTCACTTCTCCACTCCCCCTCCCCTTGTTTAGGGTTCATGCTTCTTCCTCACCCCACTTCTCTGTGCCTCCCTGCCATGCCAGTGAACCCTACCCACTGGCACCAGGGAATCCCCTGCCTATGAGTGCAGTGGTCCCTTCAATCCTGGGTATCCTTGACCAGCATCAGCGGTTTCCTTCTGTTGCTGTGGGTACTCCATTCTTGAGTCTCTACATTCTTGTAATGTTGGCATTTTTCCAGCTTTGGTTATAACCCTCTTTATTTAATCTGCACATTCTCACGATGATCTCAGCTGTACCATGATTCCAATTACCGCTCTGGGGTAGCTAAGGCCCAGTCTGCTCCTGCTGCCACATTAGTGTGTCCAGTGGCCTTGAACAGATCAACCAGGGTGCAGTAGAGGTACCCCAGCCTCATCCTCTCTTCTTTCCTCTCCAAGGATTGTCCTACCCTCTGACCCCAGAGCTACCCAGAACCCCTCCTTTTTTATTATTCCTCACATCCAGCTAATGTTTGAGTCATGTCTTTCCATGGGCCATATTCCTGATACCTGGGAGATTTTTTCCATCCTGTGATCTTGATAAGGTTAAAGCTACCACTGACCTTAGGTAGAAGTAGAAGCCCAAGGAAGAAAAGACGGAGAAGAGGATGGTGATGCCAGTAGGCTCACCACATATCCTGGAGAGTTGAGCTGAGGAACTGGATCCAGTAATATGTGGGGGCAGAGAGGGAAGAAAGGCATCCATCCAGCCCCAGCTATTCACAAAGAGTCAGTGGGGTTAATCAGGTTGGAGGGATAAGTATATTTTGAGTTATGAAGTGAAAAACCAGAAGCCTGCTGGCTTTAGAGCTGGACCGGAGATATGGGAGAGAGCCAGACGCCCACTGCTTTTGCATGTATAATCTTTAGAAATACATAAAAATAAATTAATCATTACAGGAGTCCCAAACTTTCAAATATATATATGTAGTATTTAAAACACCAAGAACAAAGTAAGTCCCCTTTGTGTATTTCTCACCCATTTTCATGGTCCCTTCCAGACCCCTAGTGATCCTAGGGCACCTTCAGTATCGCCAATGCAAGTTCCCACTCCCCAGAGCAAGGGATTAGGGGCTCTAGAGGGCCCCATTCCTATGTCCTCCCCATCTGCAGCCTTTATCCAGCCTTTCAGTGTGTGAGAGTTGTAGAATACTGGCCTGCTGAAGCTGCACATTTTCCAAGTTTCCCTGGGATGAGGAGGGACTCTGCATGGACTTCAGCTGTGTATGTTGCTGGACTTTGCCCTTATGGGACTTGGGTGAGAAACTTTGAGCAAAGAGGAATGTTCCAGAAAGAGTTCATCCCTGCTGGAGGAGGGAGTGGGATACAGTCTTGGGGTGGAGGGCCAGGCCTGCTGTGGGATGAGGACTGTTTAAAAACTGCAAGGGTGGGTCAGCAAGACCTCTAACAGGGGCCTTCTTTTAGTACATAAAGCAGCACAAGATAGATGTTCTCATCTACTTTTGTGACAGATGACTGGCTCCAGTGCCTCAGTGGCAGCAGCAGAACCAAATGGAAATAGGAGGGGCTTGGCCTAGGGGTGGCCTGTGTTAGCCATGGCAGTGGTGACCAGCAGAGGAAGGGAGGCCTGTGAGAAGCAGCTGGTCCAGAGGAGGGCCATGATGCTGATGAGTGTGCATATCAGAAAAAAAAAAAAAAAAAGACCTGAGTGCTTGGCTGAGAAGGTGAGAGCCACATTTGCTGTAGGGCAGTGTTGCCTTCACAGGGGCCAGAGCAGCAAGCAGAAGGGCTACAGAGGCCAAAGGCTAGCCAATGGGATGACCCAAGTTCATTGTTACACGTGCTGTGTCTCCAGAGCCTTCAAGAATATAAGAGCTGGCGTTTGTGTCTGCAAAAAGCAGAAATATGTGTGTCTTACCAAAACGATCCCAGCTGTAGCTGAAGCTTGGGTGCTTAGAAAGTTGGGAGGTCAGGGACTATTGCTGAGCATTAATGTCAGACACTAGATCCCTTTAGGAGGCTGGATGCTGACTGTCAAAGAATTTGGCTCATGTCTGGCTGATGACCAAACATGAAATGAATCTGAAGTTAGGACAGTGGTTCTCAAGCTTGGGAGTTTTAGCAACTACAGATTGCTGGGTCCCACCTCCAGATGTTCTAATTCCATTAGTCTAGGGCACAGCCTGGGCTTCAGAGTTTTTCAATGCTACTAATGCTTAGCCAAAGTCAAGGGACACTGAATTGGGGGATTCAATTGTACATATGTGCCTGAATGGACTCATACTGGTATAACACATCAGGCATCTTCTGAGTAAACCTCCTGGACTTTTGGAAGCTCCAGTGTCAACCCATCACTTCCCACGAGCACCCTTGGTATGGCAGACAGACCTGCCATATGAATTGGAGTGCAGCTGACCCACTCCAGCTTGAGATCTGTGATGAGGAGGAGTGAGGTAGACACAGCTGGTGAGCCACATTGCAAGTCTACCCTAGTTGCTTTTATATTCTGAAAATGTCCTGGATCCCATGTGGCTCCATCTGAGTGGTTTTGCTTTCAGAGAAACACAGTTCACTAACCAAGTATAATAATAATAATAATAATAATAATAATAATAATAAATGCCTTCCAGTATGTACTTGCCTCTTTCAGAGAATAGTAAAGGGAATCAATTTATGACCCCTACCAGCACTTCTGCAATTCCTCCTCCCCTTGCTCTCACTCCAGAGTTCATCATTTTTCCTTCTCTGGTCCTCACCCATGGACAGGCACCTCTTTTCTCTACCCCACTGCCTTCTTTCCCCCTTTTGCTTTCCCTTCCAGGCAAACCTTTACCAAGGACTATCTGCTCTGTGCACCCCTGCCCTCACACCCAGCTTTGTGATTTGTGGAATAAAGAATTTGAGGAGTGGGGCCTGAAAGGTGGGACAGGAGAGTTTCCCTTAGTGAGCAGGGAGGGAAAGATGTCTGGTGCCAGGCCTTCTAGGTGCTGATTGCCCTTCTGGTGGCCCTGAGACTTTAGAAAAGTCTTGCTTAAGTGCCGGGTTTCAGCACAACCCTGCTGTGCTGCTGGGAATGAAGAGGAGCAGGGAGGATTGAGAGTTTATAGCTGGATGGATTCAATGCAAGGCATTCCTGTGGGACCAGTCCTTCTTTACTGGTCTCACGCTATACTTTATAGCAATCCCTCAAGAGGAACAGTGGAGGAGGAGGTGTGAGGGCTGAAAGTTCCCGCCTTTCTTCCACTGACAAGCTCAGGGAAGGTAGTGTCCTGTTAGTGAGGAACCAGCCGTGTTCCCTTAGGGAAGCAGCTTCAGTTCACTCAGGACAAAGCACAGTTCCATGTCTACAACAATGAGAAGCTCTAAATGAGATTCTGGTGGCATCCCTGAATGACCTGCTGTGAAGACAGGGAAGGAGGTCCAAAGGTACTGCTGTGTGGTTCTCTTCTCTGGAGAGCCCTCCTCTTGGAAGACAGCTTTGAAGGTGAGAAGCCTGACGGAAGGAATGAGCCAGGTGGAAGTGCTCAGAGCCATCAAGGAGCATTTGCAGTTATGTTTGGAGCAAAAGGAAGAATGGAGACAAGAAAACCCAATGTGCCATATCAGTGGGTGGCAGAATGGACTCATCCAGGGAAACAGCTCCTCAGCCGTTGGCAAGAGGGAACTAAGGCTTGGGAAAGACCTGGCGAAAGCAACCCAGCTCCTTCCACCAGCCCAAGCAGGACAGCACCACCCCTCAAGGGCCTGGAGATAGAAAACAGTTTGATTGCCCAAGAAAGGCAAAAAGGCAGAATCTAAAGTCTCCCAGCTAGCAACCTGGAGGACCCCTCAAAGAAGGGTCCCTACAAAAGGAGAAAGCAGTATGGTGGGATCACTCAGCAAGATGTCAAATCAGCCTTTGATTTGCGGCCAAGCAAGGATGCAGAGATACAGGTATTTGGCAAGTGCTCCTCAGATTCTTAGATGTAAAAAGGCAAAACCAGTTCTAGATGCATCTATAATGATGTCTACTTCTGTCAGTGACTGGAGACAAGTTGGAGAGCCTGGTGTGAGGCCATGAAATGCAAATGGAGTAAAAAGCAGTTACTCTGAGGAAAATCCACTCCATTTTTACTTGCTTGTGGGCAGTAATGATTTTTCTCTTGGCTGAGGTTTGTGGAAAACAAATGTTTCACCTAGACAGTGGAGGAGTCCTGGGAATGTGCTAATTGACTCCTAGGCCAAGAATTAACCACAGCCCAAAGTAAATAGAGCTCCAAGTGACACCAACTCCATTGACAAGCCAGAGATAGTACATAAGTACATGAGGACTTTTGTGGGCTCTGTCCCAGTAATGCCCTCAGCTAATTCTGAAACAGTGGCCATGCCACTTCTTGGTCCCTGACTAATATCCACAGGTGGCATTCACAGGACATTCACCAAAGACAAGACATCTGAGTTTGGCAGTTATGCACATGACAAGCAATTAACTCCTTTTTTTTTTATTAGTATTCCTTAGTTGTCAATGGACCTTTATTTCATTGATTTGTATGTGGTGGTGAGAATCGAACCCAGTGCCTCACACATGCTAGGCAAGCGCTCTATCACTGAGCCAAACCCCAGCCCCCAATTAACTCCTTTTTATCACCAGAGGCTACACCCGCTTACAGTCCCAGCTTCTTAGAAAAATCTCTGGAGCCCTTTCCACCTCCTCAGGATCCCCACCTTGGGGCCTTTCAGACAGTGTTCCAGCCAGGGCTGACATTGGTGCTGGACAGCAGAATTTCAAATGCCAAGCCCAAGACACCCAGGCTCCTCTGTGCAGCTGGGGCTTAGATGCTGTAAGATAAGTGGTCTCCAAGCTCCAAGGCTCTGGGCTCCCCCCACTGCTCTCTCACTGCCTGGGACCTATGTGTCCACCTAGATGTGATGTTTAGGAGGCTGAGCAGTTCTCTCTCTCCCCTTGTGTAGGACACTGGGATCTCAGCTGGCTTTGGGGACAAGGAAAACCAGGTTTCTGACCCCTTCTGAAAAATCTCCTTGGGTTCCATATGAGGCTCCTTCCTGTCCCAAGTTTGTGATGTTTCTTCTGAGTCTTTGCAGGGAGATGAAATTAGTAGCAGATAGCTCAGGTTCTGCCCACAAGGGAAGGACATCCTTTCCCTGAGTCTCCACGAGAAGCACAACTTGCCCACACACACTTAAATCTTCTCATACTTGTACATGCTTATATCCACACAGGTCCACAGATTCATGCCCCTTGTGCACACACACTTATGCTTGACACTCAAGCTCACTTCCACACATCCATAGCTATGCACATGCTTGATTGCCTGCATGAGCCCCCCCCCCACATACTCTTTCCCTAAGGCAGGTGCCCTGATTCACACTTATGGCTCTCACATGTGACACACCCAGTTCTCACTCTCTCTCTCTCTCTCTCTCTCTCTCTCTCTCTCTCTCTCTCTCACACACACACACACATACACACACACACACATATACACTTAAACACATTGTCCTGAACTTACATTCCCCAAACGTGCCCTCCCTCATGTGCACACAGAGGCCCTGGCAAGTGCCCACACTTGCTCCTGGTCATATGCTCACCTTGCCAGTTCCCTCCTTAAGGCCTCTGAACCCCTGACCTGTTGGTTTTTCTGTGTTGCAGTCCTCCCGAGAGCTGGAAGACAGCAGCAGCGAGTCCAGTGACCTCCAGCTGGAGGGCCCCAGCTCCCTCAGGGTCCTGGACGAGAGCCTCGCCGACCCCCGAGCAGAAGACAGGCCCCTGGTTTTCTTTGACCTCAAGATTGACAATGAAAGTGGGTTCTTCTGAAGCCACCTCCACCCCTTTCTAGCTTAGTCTTTGAGTCTCCAAGAAAAGTGTAGGCAGAGCTCTCAGTGAGACCCAGGCCAGCCCGAGCTCAGCCACAGTGATGGCAGCCACAGTGGACAGAGCTCTTTGGCTCCCCTGTTGTCACACATGCATGTCTTGGCGGTCTGAACAGGTCATCTTCCTGGAACAATACTTGCATTTGGGAGGGAGGCATGTTCCTCCATGAGTTCACCTCTGACCAGACTGTCTCTTAGAGCCTGGGGACACACTTCGAAACAGTGTGTTTCGTTGATGAGACTAGTAATCCTTCCAGACCTTGGCTATGGCTGTACATTCTGAGTACCAGGCCCATCCCACAGATGGAGGCACAGGGAGGCAAACAGAGTCAAGGTCACAGATCCTATGACCCCTTTTCTCAGAAGCCCTTTGTTCTCCTTTCCCTGGCTCCATAATGCCCCTCTTGAAGCCAGAAGCCCTGGGCCCTGCCCTGCAGCATGGGCTTGACATTGGGGCTAGAAGCAGCAGGTGTTTTCATGGTAGAGGAAAGTCATTTGCATACTTCTGTAGGAGGCTGTAGCCATGGTCCCAGGGGACTATGCTGGGCAGTTCTGCTGTCTGTGCTCTGGGGAGCCTCAGTTAAGTGACTGATGGGATTAAGGGCAGGAGTGTGGAGTGAGGGGCTGGGAAGAAACAGTCTGGGGTCACAGAGGCCGATAGAAAATAGACAGGAGAAATCTGGGTCCTGAGGATTTGGCCAACTCTGCTATGAGTGGTATGGGGAAGAGCTAGATCCCCAGGTGAACAAGGTGGGCGGCCTACCTGACCTCTGTCCCATCAGAGCCAGGTCCAACCTGCATCTGGAGGCCAGTTTTTGGTTCCTGCCAGC